ATTAAAAATAAGGACCCATGATGCAACTCTGGTTTCCCAGTATTTGTGCTAAAGTTGATGCTTACTCGAGAGATTCAGTTTCACTTGGAAGTTAATTTAGCACTTATTTTTACAAACTTCTTCAATCCCTAAGGTTGTGAATCAGAAACAGGATTCTCTAGAGATCAAAATCCCTGACTCCCGCACATTCTAAAGACCCAATTATCTTCACTTAAGAGAATCTTCCCCAGCCATACATTTCTTGGAGTATTCATTGAATATGACTGTATTTGATGGCTTCTACAGAAGCTGGGGTAGGAATCAGAATATGTCCAAAAGGTCTCAGAAGAGTTAACCTTTCACCAAAAAAAATTTTTTTTATTCCACAAATAATACCAGGTCAATCCTAAAATACTCCTAAATAGTCCTTCCACCTCTTTAAACTCTTTTTATCTTTCATATTTTTGTTAGTTCTAGACCTTGCACTACACATTTTTTCTTTATACCAATATATTCATAGTATATGTTTAATTAGTATTTGCCACTTTATAGCAATGTTTTTGTGATTTTTTTAGTCTTTATAATATTCCTTTTTAACATTTGAAGAGTCTTTAATCAAGTGGAATTAGTGTAATCTAGCCTATAATTTTAATAGTATTGGATAGTTTAATTTGTCTCAAATTCATGAGATTTTGGTATAATGACCATTGGTATCTATGTATTAGGCTAACTAATCTGCTTTTCCTTCTTCTGAAAAGCAGGTATCATCATGAACACAGCCAGTCAGGGACACACTCCTAGAAGAGTGAATAATCTCCTCACTGTGTGCTCCAGACTTTGTTCAGATTGCTGTTTCCGTGCCATCTGTTCCTGGATTGTTTTCCTGCCTTCTCTCCAGGAGCATTGCAGTACCCTCTGGGCTCTATCCTAGCCAAGCCTGCTGACCTTCAAAACTCTAGGCTTTAAGGCCCATTGGATGTAAGAACTCATGAAATTCGGCCCCTCTAGTTTTCCCAGCCAATGTCTTTGGGGAAACTTTCTCCTTATGTGTTTCCCTGTGTGCTTTTCTCTCTCTAGCCTTTCTCCAGGAGGATGGCTCCCTCCCCTCTGCAGCACCCTGGATCCTTTTCTCCCCAAACAAGGTCTCTCTACTTGCTACCTTCTTTGAGGTGGCTTCTTCTCTCCTTTTAGTTGTGGAGATTGTTGTGGCAGTGCTTAGGTTGATTCTGGGTTATTTAGGATGATTTGATAGTTATCTAGTTGTGTTTGTGGGATGAGATGGGTCTAGTGTCCTCCTACTATACTGCCATCTTCCTGCCTGCTACCTTTTGTAGTAGTTTTCCATACTTTTCTATGTTGTTGAGGGGGAATTATGAAGTCATCATAGTACATCATTTGATGGACTATTGTACAACCATTAAATAATATCTTTGAAGAATTCGTATTAGTGCAAAAATAGTTATGTTAACATTGTTACATGAAGGAAAAACAAAAACTAGTTTTTT